ATTTTCATTTTCAAAACTTAAAAAAAAAAAAGAAACCCCCCAAACCCTTACTCACCTCTCTCATTCCTCTCAATCCTTTCTCTTTCATCTCTCTCACTCCAACCTTTTCTCTGTCATCCCTACTGTAGTCCCAATTGAAAAAAATCAGAAACACATGCCTTTAAAAAATTTTCCTTTGTAAAGAGTTGAGTCCTTTGTAAAAAAATTTCTCTGACATATTACGCGCGTTAGCAAACCCCATATATATATATATATATATATATATATATATAACAATTTATATATAAGTTAATCTTAGTTTATAAAGAAACTTCTTTTTTTCTTTCCGACAGATATTCTGGAAATTTTCTTGCTAAATTGTACCCAAATTTAATCTTTTGTCACAATAGTAGGTTATGTATGATATACTGTCTTAGACACAACTAAGAACCCGGTTTATATCCCTGTGATTAATTTGTTGTCAACGTGTAATAGGAAAATTGGTATATCAGGATTTATTTTTTGTTTTGTATTGATGCATAATAAAGGACAACAGAGAAATTAAATAACGACAATATTGGATTGTGCACCACTTATTATTAAAGCAAAATTTACAGTTGATAATGTTCTTAAGATTGTGATAACTAAAATATAACCATTTTTTTTTTACTTATAACTGTAACCATCCAGATCACATAATATTATAACCTATTCATGTTTATTAGGGGACAATTAATGCTGGTAAACAGAAAATAACTTACTTATAGAATTTATTTATTTTATTATGACAGTAAATTAAGTTTTTTTATATTTTTAATGTGCGTGGCTAATTTATTTTATTAATACTGTGCTATATGTTTTCTTAAAAAAAGTGAACGTGTCTAGATTGTTTTTTCTTAATTGATTATTATATTTTATTAATTGATTATATTATTTTATTAATTTTAATATTTTTTAGGAACTGATTAGTCTTAAACCGAAATGAATTTTTTTATGACAAAATATTACATAAACTATTAAATAATTGAAATTATATCTTTTTTTTATGATTATATTTGTATTATACAAAATTAAAGGGTCTATACTCCATCAATTCGGTCAAATGTATAAAAGGTCATTCTAGAAATTTCAACACAAGTTAGATCAAACGAATTCGTACCAACTTGATGACTGTTCGATATCTTGTATATCAAACATTTTACAATTTGATTAACAAGGTAAAAACATACTTAGATAATATTAGATCGTGATTGAGTCAATCTTAGTCAAAAGTCAATTTTGAAACCTATAAACAGAAAAGATAAAAAGGTAAGTGATTGTATTTATTAGACATTTAAGACTTATACGTGATAACAATAACTTTAAATTAGTTTGAGCGTCTCCTTTTGGCAGGTGTCCACCTACTCAAAATTGAACTTACACTAGAAAAAACAAATAAGATATTGAAAGAGAAAAAAATAAATTAAACTAAGTGAAGAGGTTTAAAAATGTCAAGATATAGTTTTTGACTTTACTTACCAAAACAATCTTAATGTTTTACCATAATTTTTTAGAAAAAAATCAATCTAAATAACAAAAGTAAGTAAATAAGAATTATTTGAGATAGAGATAGAGTAACAAACTTGAAAAAAAAAAATTACGTAATGAGATTCAGAATCCTATGGTTTGAGCATATGCTTTTTAAAGTTACATTATTTATCTTTTAGAAAATCTTTTATATCTCTGAAATTTGAAATACATGGGATTATGAGAAAAAATATATTTAAATAATAATTACTCATCAATCTTTAGTTGTTTTTAATATTTACAATTTTAACTCTATTGTTATTATTAATAATGTACTTACTTTAAATCAGTATTTAATCGGTTTAACAATTAATATTATAATAAATAAATGTATTATAAAAATCATACTTTAATCTATATTTATAAATTTATTTATGTCGATCTAATTACATTCTAATTCATTTAAAACATATTTAGTGTAGTTATTAGATAATTAAATGAATCTGATCGTCGATTAATTTTTTTTCAAATCAATTTGAAAGTAATTGATCGATCACCAATTAATATATATATATATATATAAAATAAATAAATAAATGCTAGGATATAAAAGTTTTCTATTAGTCAATTTTAACNATATATATATATATATATATATATATAACAATTTATATATAAGTTAATCTTAGTTTATAAAGAAACTTCTTTTTTTCTTTCCGACAGATATTCTGGAAATTTTCTTGCTAAATTGTACCCAAATTTAATCTTTTGTCACAATAGTAGGTTATGTATGATATACTGTCTTAGACACAACTAAGAACCCGGTTTATATCCCTGTGATTAATTTGTTGTCAACGTGTAATAGGAAAATTGGTATATCAGGATTTATTTTTTGTTTTGTATTGATGCATAATAAAGGACAACAGAGAAATTAAATAACGACAATATTGGATTGTGCACCACTTATTATTAAAGCAAAATTTACAGTTGATAATGTTCTTAAGATTGTGATAACTAAAATATAACCATTTTTTTTTTACTTATAACTGTAACCATCCAGATCACATAATATTATAACCTATTCATGTTTATTAGGGGACAATTAATGCTGGTAAACAGAAAATAACTTACTTATAGAATTTATTTATTTTATTATGACAGTAAATTAAGTTTTTTTATATTTTTAATGTGCGTGGCTAATTTATTTTATTAATACTGTGCTATATGTTTTCTTAAAAAAAGTGAACGTGTCTAGATTGTTTTTTCTTAATTGATTATTATATTTTATTAATTGATTATATTATTTTATTAATTTTAATATTTTTTAGGAACTGATTAGTCTTAAACCGAAATGAATTTTTTTATGACAAAATATTACATAAACTATTAAATAATTGAAATTATATCTTTTTTTTATGATTATATTTGTATTATACAAAATTAAAGGGTCTATACTCCATCAATTCGGTCAAATGTATAAAAGGTCATTCTAGAAATTTCAACACAAGTTAGATCAAACGAATTCGTACCAACTTGATGACTGTTCGATATCTTGTATATCAAACATTTTACAATTTGATTAACAAGGTAAAAACATACTTAGATAATATTAGATCGTGATTGAGTCAATCTTAGTCAAAAGTCAATTTTGAAACCTATAAACAGAAAAGATAAAAAGGTAAGTGATTGTATTTATTAGACATTTAAGACTTATACGTGATAACAATAACTTTAAATTAGTTTGAGCGTCTCCTTTTGGCAGGTGTCCACCTACTCAAAATTGAACTTACACTAGAAAAAACAAATAAGATATTGAAAGAGAAAAAAATAAATTAAACTAAGTGAAGAGGTTTAAAAATGTCAAGATATAGTTTTTGACTTTACTTACCAAAACAATCTTAATGTTTTACCATAATTTTTTAGAAAAAAATCAATCTAAATAACAAAAGTAAGTAAATAAGAATTATTTGAGATAGAGATAGAGTAACAAACTTGAAAAAAAAAAATTACGTAATGAGATTCAGAATCCTATGGTTTGAGCATATGCTTTTTAAAGTTACATTATTTATCTTTTAGAAAATCTTTTATATCTCTGAAATTTGAAATACATGGGATTATGAGAAAAAATATATTTAAATAATAATTACTCATCAATCTTTAGTTGTTTTTAATATTTACAATTTTAACTCTATTGTTATTATTAATAATGTACTTACTTTAAATCAGTATTTAATCGGTTTAACAATTAATATTATAATAAATAAATGTATTATAAAAATCATACTTTAATCTATATTTATAAATTTATTTATGTCGATCTAATTACATTCTAATTCATTTAAAACATATTTAGTGTAGTTATTAGATAATTAAATGAATCTGATCGTCGATTAATTTTTTTTCAAATCAATTTGAAAGTAATTGATCGATCACCAATTAATATATATATATATATATAAAATAAATAAATAAATGCTAGGATATAAAAGTTTTCTATTAGTCAATTTTAACTTTATAATAAAATGTACTAAATTTTAAACTTTGAATTACATATAATTTATTTTATCTTAATAATCAATTTATCTACAAAGTTGTCAAAATCTTTTTTTAGGCTATAAAAATCAGATATTTTATTCCAATTAATTATACAAATATAACACAATGATCATGCGAGGTAAAATTTCATTAGTCTATCTTATCACAATATTATGTTCGTGGTCTTAAAAGCTTAATATATACATTTTCATTAATGACAAATGTGGTGGCTAATCATAATCAACACAACTAAAAAGACTAAATAATAAAAAAAAAATCGATTGTCAATTAAATTATGTAGGCAAGATATAAACATACTTCTCATAAATAATATGACCAGGCATAAAATTATTAGTTTGAATTTTTTTCATGCACGTTATTAAATATTATTTTTTACAAGTTACATTAAAGCAAAAAAAGTATGCTATCAGCTTTCAAACTCTCAATTTTAATTAAACACATACAATATAACACCACGATTCTTAATTAAAACTTGACCAAAGACTAATCTTTTCTAGTATTTGTCGAATTAGATGCATTAATCATATACTTCATCCATGAATTTCACAAGATATTATTTTAGTCCATTTGGACGATGCGTTGCTTGCTTCTTCAAAAAAGGGTATTCATAAACTTGCACGCTTCAAAGCGTAAGTTAATCTGGTAATTTATACAATCTTTGACGCCACGCATTCCACTAAACAGATAGAATTTAACGAAATACTCGAATAAATAATTAGCGGCACTTCAGTTACGTGACTAAAAACCAATACCGTCACTGTTAATTTATGTTTGTGGCCAAAAAGCAAGCATTTGCATCTTTTTTACCCATCACTGTGCAACTCACTTGAACTCATGCACAGTTGGAAATACAAGTAAAAAAGAAATTGCAAAAAAGTACATCACATTGGTCATCTGATTAGCTTTGAGGTCATACTCATACTAATATATATATATATATATATGGTGCTTCTAAGGGAACCTTGAATATGCATGTAGTGTGGCTAAAAGTAGAGAGGTAGTTTTCTCTGTAAGAGAGTTGAAACCTTACCTAGAATTCTAGCAAGTTAGTTCTACAGTCATATCAAAGGGAAACAAAGAGTGTGTGTGGAAAGGGGAATCATGGAGAAATTATATGGTCTGAGTCATCTCTTCATGACAGTGTTTCTTCACAACTTCGCCATATTCATGGTGGTGCCAGCCATTACTGATGTAACTATGGCTGCTCTTTGTCCTGGACAAGATGAATGCTCACTTGCCATCTACCTCACTGGTTTTCAACAAGCGGTCAGTTTATACATTTGTTAAAAATTTTCTTCGCCCATTCTGCATTCAATCTTATGTTTAAGTTCCTTAATCTGTGATTAGTTACTCGAATTTGAGTCGAGTCAGTTCTTAATTACACAGTTTAAGTTTTTTGTTTTTCATCTAAACTAATCTTGCTCGGTAATAAGTTTTCATTAGTGAGCAACACGAAACATGGCTAAAACGTACAAGAATTGCTGCAAAACCAGATGAAACTCACTTTCTTTCATAACGAATTTAGCAAAAGTGTATATATTTTCATAGGCATATTTCTATATATATGTATTAAAGTTTCATCCTTTTGGTGGGAAAATATTCTATGAATTAACTCTCATACGCGTTAGTCCAGACATTCATCCCTCTCATGAGGTATTATATCTTATGGATTTAAATAAATTAACCTCGTATTAAATAATAAAAAGAATTTGGGTTAATTATGTCCTTTCATTTCCGATTAAATTATGATAAATTAGACATATAATCGTGATAAATTATTGCAAACGAGATTATTATTTTTTTAATTCATTCTTCTCGATTCGATATCGGAAAAAAGTGGATGAAAAGCTTGATATATATTTAGTTTTTCTTTTTTGATATATATATATATATATACCAGGGTAAAGATGAACATATTAAGTGCGTTAAATGGCGTGTTTTATAACATACTTTTATGTTTCTTATATTTTTTTTTTCTTTGCATATAATAATGTAAAAATTTAATGCATGATGACTTTTTTTTCCTAACGTGAAAACATTACCTTTTCGTAATAAAACTAAGATTTAGCAATTATTTCTTTACAATTTCTTTACAAAATTCGTGTTTAAGCCCGTTACTACTAACTAACATAGGTGGGTGAAAAATTAAATAAAATTGAATTTGTAATTTAAAATGATTAAAATCGCAAGGAAATTTTCTGATTATTGAGACAAAGAAGATTTTAAAAGATTATTGTCCACATCGAATTTAATTTGTTGATGAATCAATGATACTTCATTTATTGGTGTACCCATAAATGACTAGTAGTGTACTCGAAATTCAAAAGCAATTAATTAGTGGTAAAGTTAAATTGTCAGGAGGATAACGTCTATTTGGGTAAGTCTGTCCCCACCTGAGAAAGAAATTTCCTTGTGATTTCGTTAGCCTCGTAGGTTTCCTTCTTTCTAACATGTTACGAAAATTTAACAATCACTAGGTTGGTTCTCTTTTCTAAGCAGTTAATGTTTGATGCATTTCCATGCTTTTTCCTCTGCTTGTCGTGGTTTTCCTTACGTTTCTTTTGTCTCGTCGAACGTGAATAGTTTTTTTTTTTTAATTTCAAAAATTCTATTTTTAATCTTTTAACATATCTTAACTTAACGTCTACCTCCAATTTCTTTATGAGATTTATTTTTTAATTTTAATAAAAATATTTTTATTTTCTTCTCTTTCTTATTAAATACACTTTAATAAATATTCTTTTATTTTCTCTCTTTCTTACTAAAATCACTCTATATTTTAATAATTATCAAAATATGATTTATATTATAATAATAGTCATATTAAAAAATAAAAATAAAATAATTAAAATAAAATAATAATAATGATATAAAATTTGATTTGATATGTTAAAATATATTAAAATATTAAAATAAATTAAACAATTATTAAATTTTAAATAGAATTTTTTTAAATATGCTAACGGTTTTGTTTTTATTTAAAATTTAATAAATATTTCAATTAAATGAAAATTATAATATTATTTATTATACTTTTATATTTTAATAATTATTAAAATATAATTTATATTTTTATAATAATTTTATTAAAAAAATAAAAATAAAAATAAAAATATTTAAAATAAAAATAATGAAAATAAAAGTAATATTTAAAATCACATTTAATATATTTAAATATATTAAATTATATTAAAATATTAAATCAAACTAAATAATTATTAAAATTAAATAAAAAAAATTTAAGAAGATTTTTAATCGGATATCATATCCGTAAAATACATTATCGGATTTCTATATTCGATTGACAATTTTTTTTTAATTTTAATAATTATTTAATTTAATTTAATATTTTAATATAATATAATGTATTTAAATATTTTTAATATGATTTTAAACACTATTTTCATTTTCATTATTATTACTTTTATTTTAGTTATTTTTATTTTTACTTTTTTAATAAAATTATTATAAAATATAAATCATATTTTAATAATTATTAAATTATAAAAATATAATAAATAATAATATTATTTTTAATTAAATTAAATATTTATTAAATTTTAAATAAAAAACAAAATGTTAGCATATTTAAAATTTTTGTTTCTATTTAAAATTTTATAATTGTTTAATTTATTTTAATATTTTAATATATTTTAACATATCAAATCAAATTTTATATTATTATTATTTCATTCTTCTATTTTATACTTTTATTATTATTTTTATTTTAATTCAATTATTTTTTAATATAACTATTATTATAATATAAATTATATTTTGATAATTATTAAATTATATTAAATAATATTTAAATTTTAAATTAAATTATTATTAAGGTGGTGATTTTAGTAAAAAAAGAAGAAAATAAAAAAATATTTATTAAAATGTTTTTAATAAGAAAGAGAAGAAAATAAAAATATTTTTATTAAAGTTAAAAAATAAATCTTTTGAAAAAGTTGGAGGTACAGATTGAGATGTTAAAAAGATTAAAAATAAAATTTTTACACGAAATGTTAGAGGTGGAGGATGAGATGTTAGAGGTGTAGGATGAAACACTATGTCTTTTTTGTCCATCTTAGAACATTTGTTACTTTATAAGGCCCACTTTAACCCGTTTTTACTGGGCCTAATAAAAAAATCAGTCCAGTCCACATTACAAAATGAAATATAGTGTCTATTATTAATCATAATAAGAACATTTTTCAATTAATTAAATCTTTGATCATACATATTTCATTGATCGAGTCTTGGAACTTTTTGTTGTCCCCCATGAAATGATTTTTTTGTGTGGCTTCAATAAATTACAAATTAATCATAGATTTTTTAAAATGACTTAGAAAGAGTAATTTATAGATAACAAGTCGTTGGTGTGAGATAATGAGTTTTACTTTTTTAAGGAATCTACCTAATTCAAACATGAAAAAAATTTAGAGAGAAGATTCACTAATGATGCAACCACCAAATAAATACAACACCAATAATATGGCTATCATTTCCTTTTTACAACGTTTTAATTATATGAATAAAAACTTATTTTTATTATAAATAATTTAAGTATCAATCTAAGTTCATATAAGATACAAAATAACAAAATTAAATATCATATAAAAAAACACATAAATTTATTATTTTAAGATTTTAAATTAAAAATATTATATATATATATATATATATAT